CTATGTTTATAGCAGCACAATTTATAACAGCTAAATCATGAAAATGGCCTATATGTCCATCACCGGAGTAGATAATGAAAATGTGGTATTTATACACAATGGAATAGTACTCTGCCATAAAGAAGGATAAACTTGAGTCATCTGTACAAAAATGGATGCACCATGAGGCCATAATGTTAAATGAAATAAATCAGACACACAAGATTAAGTATTGCATGATTTCTCTTATATGAGAAACTCAAACTATAAATAAAGAGCAAAATAAAAGATAATTAGAAACAGGGAGCTAGATCTTTTGCAAAAGGAAAGAGGATCAAGACATGGAGTGAAGGGGCAGGGAGGGAAGGGAAAGGGAATGAAAGAAAATAATTAAGATGTGTTATGTACTTGTATCAACTCCCCACAAGGAATGTAATTATTATGTATTGCAAACATGTACAAATAAAAAAATTAAAATTTAATAAAATTTAAAATATATAAAAAATAATTTATTCTAAGTATTTTCCTTCACTGATAAAAATATATATTATTTAAATAAAATTAATTAATGTTCTTAAGTGTATAACCATTTCAATAGTGAACTATTGCTATTTTCAGTGTTTTAAAAGATAATGTATTGTAAATCAGCCTAAGAATCATTGAAGTTAATTTGGAATGTAACATTCACACGTCTTTATTTCATGACTAATGACAGTTCTAATGTTTCTTAAAAGCATCAGTTCCAGACATGTCATACATCTTAAACATTAGCAAAGATTCTATAACCTCTTCCCACCGCCAGCACCACCACCAGGTTAAACAGATCACCCTAAGGAAGGAATTCTGTAATTTTAGTCTAGACCAGCAAAGGCAAATCTTTTAGAGACTGAGTGATCAAACTGCAACCCAAAACCCACTTATTTATCATAAAGTGCCAACACTGCAATTAAACCCGAGTACTGAGGTGTTAGTTTAGAAAAAACAAATCATACCCTTGGCTCACGTGCCCCCTGCAGCGCATGTGCCATAGGTTTGCCACCACTGGTCTAAACCATAAACCATGTTAGATATTCCTTGTTACCATGTCCTTTCTCAAGTTAAACGTTACCACTCTGTTGTTAGTATATTCTTAATTATCTGTCTTCCATGGAAAGACAGCCAGTTCCATGGGACAATAGCCACTATCTTTACTCATATGTTTCCAGCCTTAACATGAAGAACTTAACCAAGATTCTCATCTGAACCACAGACGCATTGCTTCAGCAACGTTTTATTTTCTTTCCATTTTCCAAAGAGGGGTATCCAAGGTAGCATTTTAGACACATAGTAGAGAAGTTAACCAAAGCCCAGGGGAAAACACCTGCCTATGCTGACACCCAATACAAGGTTCCAGAATGTATGTTCTGAACTTAAACTAAGTATCTACTAAAATCAGACAGGAGATGGTAAAGGTGATAAGGATGATGATAATAACATAATGATAAAAATAATGTTTATTTTTACAATATGCCAGGAATGTCCTGTATCTCATTTCATCCTCAACTATGTTACCTCAATTTTGTAGAATTTTGTAGAAGAAACCTGAGGCTGAGAGAAGTTTAAGAAAGTTAGTAATATAGCAGAATTCAATTCCAGGCTTCTAAAGCCTCATACTCTAAAATACAGTAGTCTTCCTGTATCTGCAGCAGATATATTCTAAGACCCCTTCCTGTGGATGCATAAAAGACCTCACACTGTATGATTCAATTTACATTAAAATGTTCAGAAAAGGTAAATCTAAAGAACAAAGAGATTCCCTATGGATGAGGAGGAAAATAACTGTAAATGAAGACAATACACAATAAAAAGGAAAACAGACTCAAACATGAATAATCCTAGCAACTCTTCTTGTAATAACCTAAAAGCAGAAACAATCCAAACATCCAGCAACAAAGAGGTGAATGACTAAATATGTGATATATCCTCACAGTGGATTGTTAGTAATTAAATGTATATAGATAGATACATACAATAACATGGATAAATCTCAAAAATCATTTTGCTGAGTGAAAAAAGACCCACAAGAAGACACTATTATAAATCACAATACTTCCATTATATGGAATTCATATTCTTCCATTTATTTGAAATTCTAGAAAATACAGCTTATCCACAGTGACAGAAAACATATCGGTGATCGTCTTGGGACCGAGGTGGGGGTTGCAGATGAGAAAGAGGAAAGTTTTCGAAAGTGCAGAAATGTTCTCTACGCCAACTGTGATGGTTTTCCAGATATACATGTGTCAAAATTTATCAAACTGTGCACTACAAATGGTTGTAAGTTATTGTATACAAATTATACCTCAATAAAGTTGATTAGAAAAAAACAGAATAATTCATGAGTAATTGCACATTTTCTATTTAAAATGTAGCACTTTGTTCTAACCAATAATTCCTAAGTGAGTTAACTTTAAATAAAGATCAAAGAAATTTTTAAAAGCAAATAAACCCAGGTATGGTGATGGCGCTTAACTGTAACCCCAGCATTCAGGATGCTGAGGCAGAAAGATCTCTTCAAGCCCAGTCTGAGCTACAGAGCAAGTTCCAAGCCAGTCTGGACTACATACTATCTCAAAAAAAAAAAAGCAATAGAGAGACAACAGGCTAGGGCCGGGGATTTAGCCCAGTGGTTTCGCCGCCTGCTGCGCAAGTGCAAGGACCTGAGTTTGATCCCTAGTACCAGTAAATAAATAAAAAAGACAACAGGCTCTATCAACTTAACGTGTTTCACAAGCAGAAAATGGCAAAAACATTTGAAGTTAGAGTTAGAAGACCTGGTTCTGACCCCTAGTTCGACCTAGCAACCATTTTACCGTGAGCAAGTTAGGACTTCTGCAAGCCTCACTTTCCACATCCCTAAAATGTGGACAACATTAATAACTACCTCACAAGTGACCAGTATGGCTTCAATGACATAAGAGTTCTTTGGAGCAGGTTTCTATCTTAACTAAAATTATCTTCTCAATGAGCAAATACAGTAATAAGTGCTCAATAAATCTAGAGAATAAATAACTTTAAAAATAAACCTGAAAGATATAATGCACAGTGCTGTTGGGTTACATTAATTGTTTCTTTGCACAATGTAGGCTAACATAGCAGGGTTATCTCTCTTTGTACTCATCTATAGTGTATTACCCACATCATATGCAGACTCAAGCATAGAAACTTCAGGTCCCTTGTGAAATGTTATAATTTGGGTTATTATAGGCCAGATTTTACATCTTAAAATCCCTAGATGTATTGGCCAAAGACAGACTCACTCAAAAAACTAATTGCTATGAGAGCAAGAACTATTCCTATTTTATGTACCACTAATTCTCCATGGCAATATTTGTCTAACATAGAGTAGACATCAGAAAGTATGTGCAAAGGCCTTGTGACCAGATAAACTACAAACAAAAGGGACTCTTGAGAAGGTTAAAGTGGCTGATAAGCAGAGCACAGTGTCATGTCCAATAAGATTATGAAAACAAATAGGGCCCAGACAATGCAGATCCTTCAGGATAGGTAAAGTTTTGTCTTTATCCTAAAAGTAACAGAAAGCCAGAGAAGTTTTTGGGTTTTTTTGTTTGTGTGTTTTTGTTTTTTTGGTACCGGGGATTGAACTCAGGTCCTTGCGCTTTGCAAGGCAGGTGATGTACACAGAAGATTTTTAAGCAGGTGGTAAGCACAGTAAGGAGGGAAGAAAGCAACAAAACTCAGTTTGAATGTTGAAAAACAATCGCTTTCTTTATGGCACAGAAGAGACTGATTGTTGGGGAAAGTGAAGGAAACAGAACTTTAGAGGGTTGGTGTAGTCCAGTGGGAGGCTGTTTCAACAGTCCATTGCAGACATAATCTAGTTTGGGAAAAGGTACTGGAAATGAAAAAAGTGAAGAGAGTCTCAATACATTCAGACAAATCAACAGGACACAACTTCAGGAATGGGGGTGAGGGGAGGAAAACACTCAATTCTCTTAGCCTCATTAATTCATCTGTGCAACAGGACTGTTGACATTCCATCTATATAATATATCTTGCAATCTGCTGCGATAACAATATGAAATAATGTAAATATGCACCTAACTCAGGTGCCTGACACAATAAATGTTGGAAGAAAATAAATCGCTTTTGCTGTTATGGTCATCGCATGTTTTGGCAGCTAGCAGAGCTGAACATCAGAGGCAGAGAACAAGAATATAGTAAAGTCTCTTCACAGTGCTGAAGACAGACCATTATCAACTGGTCACTGAGACAATTATTCCAAATAGAAATACCTGACCCAACAGATATTTCATCTAAGCAGATCTCAATCCTTAGAGACCATTATAAAACGAGAAAGCACAGCTTGTATGATCACAGCCATGTAAAAGCCCAGGAAACTGAGGCACAAAGGTGGATACAAATTTTACTAAGGAATAGGTGGAGAAGTAGGACAAGGAGAGGGGTGTCATGAGTTTCATTTCTGAGCTGGTCCAACAGGACTCGGCCTGCATCCCCAGCAACACGAATTTGCAACACAAACACACACGCACATACACACATCAGTCTCCAGGTCTCTTGCAGACAAGGCCATGTCATCCCTTGACTCAACACCGTGCATCCGCTCACCATCAAGGGAGGCCCTTCCAGTCCCTTTTCCTCCGCTCCAGGAGCTCGAAGAACTCCGACCCCAAAATGCTCAACATACCTTAGCTTCGCGTTCTTGTTCCTCAGACGTCTGAGTGCGCTTCATGCTGCCACTAAAGTCGCCTTCGCCACAGAGAGCCGCGTAAATTCTTCGCCTTGGACCCCGCCCCCTGTATGTAGTTCTCTCATCTCTCTGCTCCTACGCCGCGCTATTCTCCCTCAGAGCCTCAAGAACTACGATTCCCAGGATGCACCGCGAGACACCCGAAAGCTCCTCGGGCTTGAGAGCCGAAGAATTTCCCAAGTCCCATAGCTGTGTGAGCGTAGTCTACTGCGCCTCGAGCGGATAGCCTAGCGCCCAATGAGAACTACATTTCCCAAAGGGCAACGGGTCCGGCCATGTTTCTTCCATGCTCCTCTCGGCCAGCTGACACACATGCGGTCGGCGCCATAGCAACGGTAGCTAGCTAGAGGCCGGGGAAGAGTGGAGGTGAGTACTGTGGGGGAGGATGGGGGTAAATGGAGGTTGGCGGGCCCTCCTGCTGCAGCATGGGCCAGGGCCATGGGGTTCGCTCTGCACCTGGAGAAGGCCTTGGAGTTCTTGCGTGAAAAGCAGCCTCTCCCCTTTCTCAGGCCTGCATCACCGCCCGCCCTTTTCCCCACGCCCTGGACCGATTTGAAGTGTTAAACCCCAACCATAAACCATTACTGGTGAAATTTGACATCCCTAACCAGATTCTTCAAGTAGGTCACAAACACAACTCGGTCATTTACCCAGGGTTCAGAATTGATTGGTAGATCCTCAGCCTCCCTAGTTACCTATTGTTACCTAATTATTTATCGTCTACTATCCGAAACCTGTTAATGTCTTAAAAGCAAAAATTTTGTTTACAGTTCTAGTTTCAGTTTCTTGTATTCATTTACTCATTAAGTAAGCAGTAACGTTGCCGCTCACCGTGTTGCAGACACTTGTTTCCGACCAACTCTGAACAAGACTAATACCCATCTTATGATGTTTATACTTTATTAGTGGAGACAATATACTAGTTAATAAATGAGATAATTTTAGATAGAGGCCATTGCTATAAAAGAAATAAACCGTGAAGAAATTAGGAAGAAGGCTGTTATAACATAAGATGATCGGGAAAAGCCTTTTGAGCTGAGCTCCAAACAATGAAGATCTGCCAATGCAAAGGCCTTGAGCAAAACAACAGTATGATGGCTTTGAGGAAAGGAGAAAGTGTAAGTGGAGAATAATGAGCAAGGAGGGAGATGGTGTTAGGCATTGCCATATTGTGCAGGCTGTCTCAACTACACTATTAACATTTTGGGCCAGATAATTAATTGTCATAGATTGTACAAACTGTAGAAGGTTTATCCTCATTCCTATCATCTACTCAATAGATGCCCATAACACTTCCCCTTTCCAGTTGTGACAACCAAAAATATCCCCAGACAACTAATTTCTAGGTGAATATCCTTGGGCAAGTTACCTGTGTCTCGGTTTCCTCATTTGTAAAGCAGGAATCATTTGAGTAACAGTTTCACAAGGATATTGTAAGGTTATTTAATTAACTCATGTTAATTAATTAAGTACAGCACTTACAAGTGCCCGTTGTAAGCATAGAAAACATTCAGTAAGTCTATGGCCATACCACTTTGAACGTGCCCAATCTCAACAGAAAGTATTCGCTAAATGTTAACATCATTATCATTATTATAAACCTAAAGGTTAACGGAAAACAGTCATTTTCACAGGTGACCTGTGTTTAAACTTGATAATTTGAATCTTAAAATTGACCTTTTCTGTAGTAGTATTTCCAAAAGGAGTGGTCAATCTCCCAGGCCCTCTCACAGTATGCACATGTATATACACATTTTTGTAAATGATCTCTGGATTTTCAGATTCTAATTCCTTTCATTTAGTCAAATATTTAGTGAATACCTGCTCTCTGAATGCACCAAGCCCTGCCAACCTCCAAGAATACAGAGGGTTAATAACAAACTTCCAGCTTTCTTAGTCTTCACCTTCAAGGACCAACATTCTAGAACTTGAGAACCTCTGCCTTAGAGTATTTTCATTAGCAGTTTGCACGTCACTTTTTCGATAGATGGAAATTAAACTGTAAAATTTTGTATTTATTTTTGCATACTGAACATTGTGTAGACAATATCCATGTACAAAATAGATTTACTGTGGTGCATCTCTGTAAAGAATAGAAACTAAAATTACAATTACCTGGGCAGCTTATATATTGAGGTAAGTAACCCCTGAGACCTAGGCATTATGATGACAAAAGCAAGACACAACAAAAACAAAACCTGTTGGTGAGTTTATGAAATCTTTTTCACAAAACTTGTTCACCAAACAAATAATTAATATTCCAGTACTATTGACAATCCAGGCACATGAGCTAAATGGTTTTAATTTACCATCTCACTTACTTTTAGGAAAACTCTTTCAGCTAGATATCATTTGCTCCATCTTTTAAATTAAGGAACTAATATTCAAAGGGGTTGTGTGACATGACCAGCTGTAAAATGATAGGACAATGATTTGAATCAAATTCCTGACTTTTTCCCAAGATACCTGCTTGCTTTGTGGAGAAGAGGGAGATGGAAAAGAAGTACTTTTTTTTTCAATTTGAAATAGTTTGTTTTTGTTTCACATCGAGGAATAAGAAAAGGAAGAATGATAATCTTACCTCATTTCCTAAGCCACCTATAGGAAATACACTGTTGAAAGAAACACTGTCTCCATGATTGAATCTAGTATTACTTTTAGAATAGAAGCTTTCATCTTCTTCAAGCAGCACATGTGGGCTATAAGATGTCCATTATAGTTTTAGTCCCTTATTCATTTTATTTGGTTCATTCCATTGCATAGTTAATGTAATAACTTGAAAAGAGTTTATTTGAGTTTTCTTTTCTCCACAGATATAGGCCATGTCTGGTCCAGCTGATGAGACTGCAGGAGACCTGCCTGTGAAAGATATAGGTCTAAACCTCTTTGGAGTGGGAGGATTACAAGGTACAGCCAGCTGTTATTTATTATAGTCATGAACTTTGATCTATGATTTCTTTACTTTTAATTTAAAGTATTTTCTAATATTCATACAAACCAAACTATTTAAGTAACTATATAGCTCTTGATTGGACTAAACAAGATGGAAAGTTAGAACACATAAGGTATTTTTTACTGCATGCGTTAATTATCAACAGCTCATAGCAAATGCAAGATCCCCCTCTGTTTTGATAAGGAATTGTTATAAATCATCTTTTTAAAATTACACACATCAGTTGAAACTACATAGAATGTATCAAGCCTTCAAACTGAATTTCCTGGTTTAAATCACATTCACCATTAAAACATTTCTTTGTGTTTAAATTTTATATGGGAGGAAATGCCATATTTTTAAAAATTTGCCTTTCAAGTAGAGTATCTCTCAATGGCTTGTTTATGCAAATGATAATGACTTTTTTTATCAAATTAATATACATTAAAGGTTTTATTTTCTCAGTGGCTGCTGTAGAGCTAAAGAGCACATTCAAATTACAAAAGAAAAGCACTGCTTTAAAGGATAGTTTAAAATAGAGAGCTCTCTTTATCTTTGTGTGTACAAGCAGTACATCAGCCATACTCTCATCCCATTGAAAAGGTTGGTGATTTAAAATACATGCCAATAAGGAATCTTCTTTAGAATAGCATAAGTAGCCACATTGACTACCTTAGAGAAGTGATCAATATATTTGTTCATTAAAACAGATAAATACTACTATACGGATTTTATTGTTGGAAGTAAAAAGTATGTATAAACTTGGCATTAGATTTTGTTATTGAGTTCAATTGTTGTCCTCAGGAATCACCATAGGACTTTAGTCTCTGTCAGTTTGTTCTTTGTTTTTATTGGAGGATTATTGAAAATTGATGTATTTCACAATAATATGAAAGTACCGAATTGAAGTATCTGTAAGAAGATACTGTATACACATGCTAAAAAGGCATAGAAGACATTTAAAAATATATGAAGCAACTTAAAGAGAAATGGTCGTTAAGCTTTCAGATGACAGTTTTTAAATTTGAGGATTTTTCTGGAGGGTAGTCTTGTAAATCTTGCTGTTTATTTTCTATAACATCCATAGTTCAGAAAAATCATATTTGGTTCACCAAATTATTCTAACTCTTCCCTTGATAAAGATGACTGTTTTTAGATACTTTCTTTCTTTCTTTCTTTCTTGTTTTCTTTCTTTCTTTTTCTTCCTTCCTTCCTTTCTTGAATTCCTTGAGATTGAACCCAGGGCTTCATGCATGTTAGGCAAGCACTCTGCCACTGAACCAGATTCCCAGCTTAGATACACTGACTTTTCAGACTTTAGTTTTTACAACATTCAACATATATATTGGAAAGTCCATTGAATCAGAGTTCTGCCTTATACTCTGAAAGAATGATTACTTAAATGCATTTTTCAATCAATACTATTACTGCATAAATCTCAGATAACTGTATTAATCACAAAGATTTTTATTCTCACCTCAATTCATTGATGTAAATAATATTTGCTAAAAGAATCTTAATTTTAGATCACCAAGGAGAAAAATCTGAGTGCATCAGACTATTTTATTAACAACAGTTATCATTTTTAGAGACTATTCTAAGTAATCCTACAATTGATTACCTTTTCATTTTTTCAGAAACTTCAACATCACGGACAATGAAGTCTCGCCAGGCAGTATCACGTGTCAGTCGTGAGGAACTGGAAGACAGATTTTTGCGTTTGCATGAGGAGAACATTTTACTTAAGCAGCATGCCCGCAAGCAAGAGGATAAAATTAAAAGGTTATGATAAAAAGCTTTTAGCTTTTTTTTTTTGACTCTGTAATGTTTGGAGGATATGCTTCTTTATAAACTTAATTGAAAACCCCACCTTCAGTCTTTTCTGGAACAGGCAGGTTGTAAATAAATAGAATTTTTAAAAATGGAAAATCTTACGAAGTAGAATAATAAACCAAAAAAGATTGTGAATGTTTATTATGTCTGAAGTTGTTATTTGAAAGAAAAGAGCTAATCATGAACAGTGCCATGGGTATATCATACCTCTAAATAACTTTTGGTTTAATATTTATAGTTTAATAAGTAAATAGCCAAAGCATCTGCTTCTTTTTTTTCTTTTTTTTGGTACCAGGGATCGAACTTGGGACCTTGCGCTTGCGAGGCAGGCGGCAGAACCACTGAACTAAATCCCCAGCCCAAGTATATGTATCTTAAATGTCATAATTTTAAAATGAAAGTTTCAAAAAGTAATTAACTATTCCAACTTGTTAGAATGCATCTTTCCTTAAACTATTGGAAACATCACTGTTTTGTCTTGTTTTGTTTTGTTTTGTTAAGACAAGACTTCACTATGTAGTTCAGGCTGGCCTTGAACTCACTGTGTATCCCAATCTGGTCTCAAATTCACAGCAATCTTCCTGCCTCAGCCTCCCAAGTGATGAGATTACAGTCATGTGCCCCCAAACCTGGCTGAAAACATCACTAATCTCTGGAATTTATATATCTTTGCTTGGGTCAGTCTGGATTTTGTATTTATTTCAAAGGATCTTTACTGTTTCTGAAAAAAAAAATTAATCACTTTTGATTTATAGGCAAAAACAAATTATGCAGGAATATCAAGAATAGATATTCTTTATTATTGAGAAATACTGTGCCTATCTTCTGGATGTATAGCTTTAAAAACACAAGTGTTTTCATATTTGTAAGCATGAGCAAGGCTGTATTCATATTCAGAAAAGGTGAGATGGCCGTTGAAGAAAGAAGATAGGGTTTTTTCTGCTTAGAGTTCTTCCAAAGAGGTGATTCCAGTGCACTTTCTACTCTGTGGACTTTGTTTTAACAGTCTACTGATCTGTTGAGTTCAGTCCTTTGAGCTGGTTTGGGGGTCATGAAAATAGCCATTTTCAAGATTGGCATGAATTCCTTTCACCAACAGCACACTCATGTCAACTAGGCAGAATGAGGCATGTATTCTGTGACCACCAAACAGGTTTTTTTTCTATGTAAGCCTAGTTGTTCAGTAAAAGAATTGAATTAACAACTTTGACCTCATTAGTAATTTGTCCTAGCCAGAAAATAAAAAACAACTTAATAATGAGCTATGTAGTGGGAAAAGAACTGGGCAAGAAGTCAAGCTGTATGTATGTGTCCTAGTCCTCTCTATCACTAACTATATTCAAGCCAGTGAACTTCCTGGGATTTTATTTTATTCAGCTATGAGAGTAGCAATCCCTTGAACCCTTTGACCCAAAACTCTGAATTACTTCTCAGTCTTACACCACTGACAGTGCCCTACATACATGCGTAGAACTGTCTTTAAATTTATCCCTAAGATGTAAATAGCATCACTTTCTTTTATATAAATGTAGATAGTATAAACCACCACTTTAAGTACTCAACCTTTATCAGGTCACTTATGATTCATTAATATCATAAAATACTCAAATGACAAATATTTTTATTATTACTGGACAAAAACAGATTCAATCTTACTTTTCCTAACGAAGTTTATTTGAATGCCATGTAATGAATTTAAAGACAATGCTGATGTGTTTCTCTTGCCTTGAAAATTAGGATTATTTCTCTTTGTTTAGATATTGACTACCTTTTCATATTAAATTTGTACCGTTGTTTTGAATTTAATCTACATTTCTGTGTGATAGTCTCTCTGTAAGAGATTAAACTCTGAGATAGATTCAACTAACTCATTTGGATCACTACCTTATTTTTATGGGTATTACATTGAGAGAGCCTCAGAACCTCACTAAAGAGCAAGGTAGAACATGGCATTGTTGGACTATAATACCTGGCCAGATTTCCCAGTGATATATCATTCTCTGAATTAGGTGGAAAAGGAACTAATCCATTGATTATTTTACTAGAATGTTTGTAGTACCCTTAGATCTTGGTTTTTATTATCCTGTATCCTTTATAAAGCATGCTTAATGGATATGCCTCAAGGGAAAGAGAAAACAATCTTAACTGATTATGTTATGCATAGCTCTCCCTGATACCACATGCTGTAGGCCGAGTAGCCAAAAGTGTAGATAGACATGTATTACTACCGCTTTTACAGAGGACTCTGCTTATGGCAAAAAAGAAAGAAAAGAAAAAAGTTTGTTATGTAACATCCCAAAGCTATTAAGGATTTTTTTGTTTCACTTTTGTTCTCTTAAGTAAAAGCTTCTGCCCATAACCATACTAAAATACAGCAAACCCCATTTAAAGAAAAATGAAGTGTGTTTTTATTTTCACTCTCCTGCCTGGATCTTTATAAAAATAGATTCACTATAAACTAGAATCAACTATTGAAGATGTGCGACCAATTTTGTAAAGTCTTGAACTTGTGTCTCTCATCAAAGCCACCTTTTCTTTCTTGTCCTGCCAAGATTTTTCCATTCACTGTCAGGCATGTTTTCTGTACGTGTATATTACATCACCCCCATGTGCCCTTTCTGTCTTTTTTGTTCTGTCTAACCAGTTTTTATCAAAACTTGAAAGACTCAAAGATATAAACTCCTGAGGTATCAGAAACACTATTTATGTCTAAATTTTAAAGTAGCATTAAAATGATACTAATACTTGTATCTAATTATTTTCTTCCATTAAATATTTGTTTCTTCAGCACTAAGCAGTATTTAACAGCACATTTTGTTTTCGTTCAAAAGTTTCATTTGTACTTTACATGTGTGCATCTATGCATTCTAACAAGTTTATATTTATAATTTGTCTTAATCCTACAGAAACTGAAAACTGTGTATTACCTAGGTGCTGTATAGTCTTAATACACTTTTCAAGTTTTAACATACTGTAGATTGCAGATATAATCCACCACATCCACAATCTGTAACTATATTTAAGTGCATATAGCATTCCTATATAAGGTCATGTGTTAAAAATTGCATTTCAGGAACATATGGAGTAAATATGTGTCCTCTCTCTACTAACCTTAAATGATAAGCCTTAGGAAACTGTTATTTGTCAGTGCTATAAAGCAGATTGTTGCCCAGTGGTTTCAATTATCATCAAAGGATTCTTCACAGGCAGTAATAGTTACATCAAAACCTGAAATTTATTATTCAGGTTCTGCACTGAAGTCTTCACAGTGATTATATTCCTTTCAACAGAATGCATTTTATGCTGACTTCTCACATTCCTTTTCATCTTTTTATTATTTCCCTAGAATGGCCACCAAGTTAATACGGCTAGTTAATGACAAGAAAAGATATGAGCGGGTTGGTGGCGGCCCCAAGCGGCTGGGACGAGATGTGGAAATGGAAGAAATGATTGAACAGCTGCAAGAGAAAGTTCACGAGCTTGAAAGACAAAATGAAGTCCTCAAAAACAGACTAATTTCAGCCAAACAGCAACTTCAAATCCAGGGTTACAGGCAAACTCCATATAATTATGTACAATCTCGCATTAACACTGGGCGTAGAAAAGTGAATGAAAATGCAAGCTTACAGGAGTGTTCCAAGAAAGGTAAAGCAAGGCTATAAACTTAAGTCTTATATAATTTTACACAGGCACACACAGATTTCTTTCTAAAATTTTCATATTGTAAGTGTCTCAAAAAAATAGAAAAATCATTTTTTAGCTTGCTTTCTGATAAAATCATATTATCATGAAGATCATTTTATTTAAGAATCACTAGATTGGGCTGCAAATCTGGCAGAATGGTAGAGAGTGCCTGCCTAACATGCCTGAGGCCCTGTGTTCAATCCCCAGCATTGGGGGGAAAAAAGATCACTAGCTTATTCTCAAATTTGTTTAGTAAAACACGCAACGATTCATGCTGATATGAGACACAGAACTAAGTAAAATTGGAGCTGAGCTGAATTTGACTTAGTTTTTATATTACAGATGGAAATCACATTGACTCAGGCAAGCCAGAAGACCAGCTAGTTTGTTTATATGCGATCACACCTATTTTGAAAGATCACATTTAAGTTCTTCACCCAGAGACCTTTTATAAAATTTGCAAAATGGTTGCAGTCTCTCCCATTATGTGGAGACAGCATGACAATGGAATGTGCATATACAGGGTTTTTAAAAAGTTGGGTTCTTGCTAATCACCTAATCATTGGGAACCTTAGTTATTCTTACATACAAAAAAATATTGAAGCAAGTCACCAAAAGTTCTCTTCCATGTAAAAATAATCATAGTCAAATCACCTTCTTCATTTTGAAAGCATGTAACCTACAACCTACCCCAGTTACAAAGCAAGTGAATTGCACAGAAAGGACTCAACATCAAATCTAAATATTTATAATAAAAATTAGTTCTTTCCACCCACAGACAACATCATTATACTGGAACTAAAAGTAAATATTTTAAGTTTTTATATTTTCAACTAGTGGGAAAGTAAAGTGTTAGCTCTAATTGATTTTTGTTTGGAATATGCTTCATGTAAAGATCAAACACCTTTAGAAATATAAAAAAATCCTGTAGAACATTAGTTTCAATTCATTAAGAAAGAAAAAGATACCATATGAACAGAAAGGGAGAAAAATTTGTTCTCGTTTTCTCTCCAAACCAAACTGTTAACACTTATCTGTTCCCTAGATAGAGATCCTTTGAAGTCAATAAGGCCTCTACACAGGCAGGAGGCAGCTGCAGGATGAAAGGGCTTGACTGTTGCTAGCTATGTGGGATTGCAGTAGACTGTGAATAGAACCAAAGTAAGCATAATGAAATATAAATCAGAAAATACATTCTGCCATTAATTAACTTTTTTAATATGGAAGAGAACATTTGACCTCTCAACCTCATTTTCCCCATCTATAACATCAACTGATAATAATACCAGATAAGAGGTCAGGATATTGTAGCTCCATAATAATATATTTTTAATTTAATCAGTTATCTTCCCTGAACCTTACTTTTGCCCTCTGAGAACATAAGTGGACAAGGTGATCACTAAGATCTGCAGTTTTTTATACTGAATAAAAATAACACCTAAATTTTAGACTAAAATGGCAAATGAATCAAGTGTTTAAATTGCTATTTACACTTGATCTTAGCCAAAAGGCCGAGAAGCAATTAAAATTTCTATTTAAATAGAAGAAATCTATGAAGTTTCTCCCTACAGTTAAAAAAGCCACAGAGCAGCAGTCTTTAAACATATGACTACATGGCTAGGCGTAGTGATGCATACCTGTACTCCAAGCATTCTTGGAGATTAAGGCAGGAGAATCACAAGTTTGAGTCCAGCTTGGGCAAATTAGTGAGACCATGTGTCAAAATAAAAATTTTTTTAAAATTTTAAATAACTACAAAGCTCCTTACTTTTGTGCTTTTAGTGATTCATACCTTTTGCACTTCATAGAGTTCAGGGCATGGAAGTTGCACAAAGCTAAACAGTGCTGGAAACTTTTAATAATGTATTTCTGAGTGAACCTGAGCAAAATGACGAAAGATGATATCCTGGTAATCTTAGTAGACTCTTCTGGACTGCTCTTGAGGCCAGGACTTTGGCTAGAGGGAGCTTTGGCCTGAGGGGGCTGGGTGAGAACCCCAAACCCTCTCCAACCACAGGGAGCTTTTACCCCCAAGCTGCTTTACAGATACTGTTGTTTTATATTTGTACCATGGGATAAAGAATGGAAAGCACTGGCTTAGGTGTAATCAATGTTACACAGACCTAGTTCCAAGAACCTGTGGAACAAAGATTTTTGTAAAGTGTATATGCTTTAAAATATAACCGTTAGTGAATCACCATAAGACTATGTTTTAAGATATGTCTTGAGTACTTTTAATTCTGCTAATATAGATTTTTTTCAATGATTGATGTAGAAAAAGGCTAAAGAATTAGCATTACTTCCTGAATAATATAATTGGCAAATTCTAACAGTGAATTATTTGAATATTTTTGTGAATTATTTGAATATTTATCCTTTAATAGAGATCACAGCAATAGATATTAAACATATTGGAAAGAGTAAGAAGTAGTCCCATTATTCTAATTAAAGTTCTTATTTTTAACAATTTCTGCTTCAAACATTATGCTCTATATATGGTAAATGCAATTTTATCTGGCAATTAAAAAATAAATTCTCACTTTTAAAAATTTTTTCTTAAGACAAAGAATCTATTCTACACTTTTTTATCTGGAGCTATTCTCCATTGAAAAAAATGTGTCATTGTTTACCTTAAACTCTAATAATTCAGATTTTCTACAAATGTAAAGTAGTTTACATAAATTAAAAGTATGTCTCATTTTTCACAGTGGGACTATCCTTATAAAGTTGCATAAAGCTTTTTTTTATTTTTTTTTTTAAGAGGCAAAGTCTCATTATGTTGCCTAGCCTAGCTTCAAACTCCTGGGCTCAAGAAATCCTCCTGTCCCCACCTCCCAAAAAGTTGGGACTACAGGGGAATACCACCATGCCCAGCACAGACAACTTTTTTATTGTTCCAGTACCAGTGATCAGACTCAGGACCTTGCACGGCACCACTGAGCTACATCCCCGGCCCTTATAACTATTTTTATAATAAAAATTATATTTTAATCTCAGAATGGAACTGTTTTATTTAAAAGAAATCTATTGATCACCTTTGGTTAAATATGGATTTTATCACTGAGGTGGAATAACAAGGTACAGGAAACATTTTGACTTAACCATGTAGGGTCAAGTAATATGAATAATTAATTGTAAAATTTAAAAATTATCAAAAACACTAAATCGAGTTTTTGAAAATTTTGTTCATACTTCAGCTTACATTGTAAATTAAACACTGTGGTTCTTTCAGAATTACTGCAGGAGTTCTAAATCTTGAGTTGAGTCCAGTTATTTCTAGGAAATTTGGTTTCCATAGAATTTGTTAAATGGACCGTACGTATTACTACATTTTATTTAATGTCTACTGATGACTAACATCTAATATTCCTGGGGGCCAGTGTATTTCTAATTAATTCTCTGTACTGTGAAACACATGTATTAATAAGAAATTTTGTTGTATTATAAATATTCTTAAGATAGCAAATCAAGGGTCCTTTCCAACTTAACTTCTGTAATCATATTTTATTACTTTATTTTTAGGTATAAGATTCCAAGATATAGATGTACCAGAAACTGCGCAACCCATCCTTACAAAATATGGCAAAAGTTTACTTGAAGAAGCCAGAGGAGAAATAAGAAATTTGTATGTATTCCTTTTCATGGTCACTTTAGAACTTTGTTTATTGATCATGTCTTGTTTTAATCCCTCCCTTTCCTTTATTGTAAACAAAATTGAAGTATGTATAAATAATTTGCTTCACTAAAATACAGCTAGTTCTGTGGGGTAATAACAGGTATTAGATGACATGTTTTCAGTAAAATAAAGGAAGTGAATAACATCCCATGGCATAGATGGAAGGGTTTATAGACTAGTCCTCATTATAATTTTACCCCAAAGGAATGACATAAAATCAAATTATTTAACATAGTATAAGCTTTAGAAGCAGTATTTTCATCCCCAGAAAATTACAGATAATTCTTTTAAAGAATCTGAATCGGGGCCAGGGATTTAGCTCCGTGGTTTCACCGCCTGCTGTGCAAGCGCAAGGACCCGAGTTCGATCCCCGGTACCAAAAAAAACAAAAAAGAATCTGAATCAGTTAGCCCTTTTTGTAGTTTAAATTAAAAAAATTGAAAGGAGTGGCTCATCAGATGCATATGGATTTCAGATTTTGTTTCTCCATGTTTCTACAGTATTGCATTCTACGTGATATCATAGTTTCAAAAAAGTTATTTCTGCAACATTTATCTTTCTTTTGCAGTTAATCAAAGCCTCATGATTTCAGGGTCTGTGAGTCACAAAAAAAAATAAGGTTCCACCTTATCTATAGGCCTTCACCTGGATCATCACAAAGTAACAACACTGAATGAGGAAAGGGAACATGACACAAAGACTACCATACTTTAGATAGTTTCTTTAGAATAATATGAGCTCAAAATGTTTCCTTTTGGATATTTTAAATATCAGTTACAGTAATGATTAGCCTGTGAGAAAATAAAAGACTAGATATAATCTTGTTACCTGATAATCAACTGAAAACCAGGGTTCATACCAGTTTCCTGAGGCTCATTGCACTGGGATACTGCCAGAAATGGAAGAGATAAATGCATGCCAGAGATCACTAAGTTATGTCTGGCAAATTTCCTGCCCTCTTCCTCTGAAGTGTTAATTTGGGTATTATAGGCAGATGTGCATATACTGTATGAGAACAAAGGCATACGCATTATCTGAAGACCAGATCGTAGAGTACACACTCAGGTGATGAATACTTACACCATTGAATTTATCAAAGACCAATCCATTGACTAGGGAATTATCTTGTAAAAAAAAAAGTAATATCTTGAATTGTTCCATATATATTTCCAAACTGTTACATTCAAACTGGTACTATTTCACTATGTGCAGAGACAGTAGCTGAAATTTTGAACTTTTGCTTGCCTTCTATTATGAAGAACTATCTTTGCACCGATCTTAAATACCACAAATTTTTGCTCAAACTTCAAATTCTTATAAAGGCTCTTCATTTCAGAGAAAATGTTACTCAGTCACAGAGAGCCCAGATAGAAGAGTTAGAGCATTTGGTTGATATCCTGAAAACTCAGTTGAAAAGAAAAGAAAATGAAATTGAGTTATCTCTCCTTCAGATTCGAGAACAACAAGCTACAGATCAAAGGTATGTTAGAACAATCACTTTGATAAGGTCAAAATTAGTTTAAAATAATTTATCATGTGCCATAAAAAGATAAGTTCATCTAGTTTATTTAAAAATTATGTTATTCTTTAATATTCTTCATATAGACCTGCTTTAGACCTACTCACTGCTGCCCACAACTCCTGTGTAAGGCAGTTTTCTCTAGCCTACCCTCAAGTTGAGTTTTTAAGCAGCGTCTGATAGGTGCAAACACCTTCATCTTGTTTCCTCTGTTATTTGCACCATTTGCCAAGACTGCAGGAAGTTGATACCAATTTATCATAGCTACTGAGAGAAGTATGGTTACCAAGAACTCAGCCATTGGCATACTTTCTATATAAGTCATGCTTATGTAAGGTTTTTTTCAACCTTAAAAAGTAGTAAATTACATAATATGGTAGCAGTTTGTGATCTCAAAAAGAAGTTATGTCTCCTAATAGTCAAAATTTGCGTTAAAATACATCATTGTTTTGGATTATGATGAAATCTATTAGCAATTTCCTTGCCACCTTTGCATTTTTTTTCATTCATATCCTTTTTTGTTATGTTTGGGTTCCTGATTCCCATTCACTTGCTTTGTGCTTTGATATTATATTTTCATCAAGACTATCTTTTTACCATATTCTTTCTTGAATTCTCCTCTTCCCTTTATGGCTTATTCTTCTGGGGGTTTTTTGTTTGCTTTTTATTGATTTATTTATTTATTCCCCTTTTTTCCTTTCTTTTTTCTAATGCTAGGGTTTGAACTCAGGGCCTCATGCACATGCTCTCCCCCTAAGCCACATCCCTCTTTCCCTTTCTTTCCCTTTTTTTTTTTAACCTGGCATACCCAAAACCAGAGCAAGTAATATACATTGAACCATTTACCCATCTTCTAGCTTTAATAATTAATAACATCTTAGCAATCTTATTTCATCTATCCCTTCATCTTTGTTCTCTTCAACTATAGTAATTAGCCCCAACCAGATAGCCTGTCACTCATAAATACTTCAGTATGAATCTCTGTCTGATAAGTTTTTTTAACATAGCCACTATGCCACTATAACACCTAACAAAACTAATACTCATTCTTTGATATCATCTAATAACTAGTTTTATTTGAATATTCCTGAAGATATCTTTCAGGAATCCAAATAATAATCTAAATAAGGCCTATGCAATGTATTTATTTACTGTATCTCTTGCCTCTACCTTTCTTAATTTTTTAAAAATCAGATATAGTTCCTTTACTTATTTTCCCCCTTTCCAATTATATTATACATATCTGGCCAAGGTCTTATATAGAAAGACCAGGGTTTCCTAGCTGTGCAGATTCAGAGTTTAATCCTCTCAAAATAAACTAACCTTGCATAGTAATATATGCAGAAGCTAAGAAAAGATGCATAATCTGAGACTTCTTTTTTTTAAAAAAGTGGGCTAAAAAATATGAACGCTTTATATGTAAAAGACTTAAAAGATTAGTACAATCTCTAATATCTGTTTCTAAAAAGGTATGTGTAAAACTAAATTATATAAGGAAATTCAAATACAGTGTCTAATAATATTATATACCCTAAAAGGTACAGAGTAAAAGAAACGTGAATATTTTTGAGAATTATATTAAAATAAGGGGATTTAATTTGAAACCTGGCTTTAAAACAGCTCAAATACTTAGGAGTTAGTCACATTCCCTTAGGAAGAACTGATTTAGACTCAGCCTTCTTAGAAAATCAAAAAATGGTTCCTTGTAAGGAACAGTGCCAGAGGACCAAACTCCAACACTGAATATGGTGATCTTAGTCTAATTGCCAGCATCCATATTTAAGAACTTATCTAAATATAGAAATTCACATGGGCCAAGCTCAAGTTGGGGCTCATCCCTATCAGCTTTTTTAAACCATTACGTTATCAGGGACTGCTTTCCCTATTACACTTTGCAAGTTCCCAGACAGTAAGATAGACTGTGTATATTAGCTGTTTCCTTTCCAAGATGGATGTGATTATCTTGGAGCTATACTTTCAGTGTTAGTTGAAAGGAAGATCTAAAAGTCTCTCAATCCTAGGACTAGAGCAACAGCAGAAATAGAGTGATAGACAAGGACACATACTTTGCAACTATAAATATTACCAGCAAGAGAGACCAACATATATACATATAATATATAGAAGAGTTTAACCTTGTCAACTAAACTAAGGCCTTCCTCAGGGAGCTATATTTTCACATAAACAAAAAGCAATCTTTTTGTGACATCAAGAATTAGAAGCAGAAACAAATTAGTGTGTAGGTAGAGGAATTTTTGTTACATAGGCCAAAGAAATAAAGAGTTTGTAGCCAGCCTCACTGATTTTATAAAAGTAAAAGTTTACATGTTAATTTGCTTAGTGAAAAGCATATTATTTTTTGAAATAGTTTTTGAGATTGAAGAAATAACTTACAATAAGCTCAAGTCTTTTTTAAAAATATGTTTACACATAGTTCAAAATTTTATGTATAACAGCAATTTTTGAGACTAATGGAAAACTTGAAAAAAATGTTGAAGAGAATATAAAACTTGGTATAATTTACTATAGAGGAAAAAAATCACAAAATGGAAAACATATTTAAACTTCTCTTTCACGGATACATTATTTCAGATTTGAAATTCTAGAAGTCTGATCTGGATGTTGGACCCCTTGTTCTCAAACATGAACCTAACATAGTTGTAATCTTCAGAGTGGCAGTGCTTGATATTTATGGCAAAGAGCCTTTTCATAGAATATTACAGAAACTCTTCATAGTATGTGTTTAATAGACCAGTTTGGTTTGGCATCAGCTTGACATAAACTTTTGGTTATCCAAAGCCCTTAATTGCTTTGAAGTAAAAGCCCAGTGCTGCTCTTTTTTATTAAAATCATGTTTTTTCCTGTTGTTGTGGTCTATTTTGGAAGACTGAGTTGTGATTTTTGCATATGTTCTACATAATGCCTCATTAGCAAAAAATCTTGTATCATTTACAAGTAGCCTGAATGTCTGTGTTGTTTTTAACAAAAATCCATAATAAATTTAAACAATATAAAAATGCACATTTTCTGCTTATTAAAAAGGCTGTCTTAAATTAAATGCAAAGCAGTAACCAGTGAACATATGTACATGAACATTAAAATCAGAACGATTTTACCTTTTATTGACTTTTTCAACTCCAAAAATATTTATACTCTTACCAAATGTGAAACTTGAATGTTTGTGCAAGTTTTTTTAAGCAAATGTTAGAGTGTTTACCTTCTTAATTAAAAATCATGTAAGTTCCATAATGTCTCAGTGGAGGAAATTTAACGCATACATATTTCAGACACTCCAACTTGCCTTTTTCTCTTTGGCAGACAGCAAACTGTCAAATCTTACAACTGAGAGGCCTTTTGCAGCCATGCACTATAAGAAACAGCTTGACTTTGGGGGCTCACGCTTTCCCCTTTGCACAAAAAAAGGATTACCTCCTTGCACACTTAAGTTCTTCCTCAGCTTTTCAATTTGGAAGAGATCAAACCTATAGGAAAGTGGAAAGAATAGTAGTGTGAGCACTCACATACCTTGTACCCCTTTAGCATATCTGTGTATGGCATAGCAGCCTGTTTCTGTATTCTTCATGCTTTTGCACTAGCACTTCTTCCTCTCCTCCCCTCCTCTCTGCTCTCCTCTCTAACCCTTACCCTCCTCTCCTCTTCCTCATCGCCCACCTCCGTCCCCCTCTCTTCTTTTCTTCTCTCCATTTCTCTCTCTCCCATTTAAGTTCATATGTTACTTCACCCTCTGTACCTTATGTATCTTCAAGGAACAAGGACATCCTCTTTTGTAACAGCTATGCAGATCATTTAACAATGAATGATGCAGTAGCATTGTCTAATACACAGTCTATATTCAAATTTCCCCTGTTGTTTCAGTAATGTCCTTTCCAACCGTTTTGTTTTGTTTTTTTTTCTTTTAGTAACATCTTTTGGTTTTGATTTAGGATCCAGTGAGGGTCGTGTGTCACATTAAATTGTCAAGTCCTTTACTTTTCCTTTATTCTACAGTGGTTCCCTACTCTTTTCCGGTACATTGACCAGTTGTTTGCAGAATGTCCCTCAATTTGGATTTGCCTGATTGCCCAGCCCTCTAATTTAGAGGGCACATCTGGTTCTCTGATGGAAGGATAACTGGGGCCAGGGATAACCTTGCAAATATTATTACACAGAGGGATGATCTGTCATTTTTTAAAAATATATTCACCAAGCTCTTACTGTTGTTTTGAATATCTTAGAATTTGTCCAGTCACAACTATTGCACCCCAATACCATTTATTTTATCCCTGTGTTTTTTATTATAAATAAAATCTAAGATTTTTCTAGAGAGCAGCTTGACATATTTTCCAACATTTTATATAAACTGCAAAAATTGTCACAATTTATAGTAAATAGTTTATCATTGCCATACACGTTTGTGGAGGGAATGTTAAAACTTAGGAACATCTTAGAAGAAAGAAGCAACTTAAAAAGAATAAGAAGGATTTAGTCCTTAAAACTACATTTGAGGGCCGGAGATTTAGCTTAGTGGTTTCGCCGCCTGCTGCACAAGTGCAAGGACCCGAGTTCGATCCCCGGTACCAAAAAAAACCAAAAACTACATTTGAATGTTGCCTCCCTCACTTAAGGACTCTAGCTAAATTCTTTACTCTGTGAACCTCAGTTAGCAACCTGAACTGTAAAATGAATATATTGAAGTGGGTGAATGGTTCTTTGCTCTGTAAACAATAGTCATTTCTATCTAAGAGAACTTGATATTTCTGAAAGATTTTGCCTACTCAATAATCTATATTTCTTAATTAATTTTTCATTTTGTATTCATGAAAAATGTAAATCATGCCAATCATTCTTTCTGATAATATGAAATAACCTGTGCTATTGCACTAGATTGGCATAATCCTTTTGTCTACTTTTGCAACTTAATTGCTGATAAATCTACATTTCCCATTGGGCTTTTTGAAATATTGACTAATAGTTCCAGATTCCCTTTTCCTATTACTGTAAATCTCTAGTTGAAATACATTAAACTTGATCCTAAACATGGTCATCTTAAGAAAATAAGCAAGGATTTGGGTTACTCCTATCCCCAACCAGTCTTTGGGAGTGACCTCTCCATTTTCATGAGTATGATTATATGCATATAGAGAGCCCAACAGGTTTGTACCCTCCATTCCTGTGAGTGGTGGCAGTAACAGAATATTGAGCACATATTTGTACTTTGACCCAGTACCACAGGAAAGCTGTGATCCTGAGGCAAATAAACATACACAAATTTTTCCCTTTGCACTATTCTAAATCAGGAAGCTCTGTTTTAACCCATGATCTCAAATCACAGTTTTGAGCAAAACCATTACCTTTCAAATAAACTCCTTGGCTATCTTTGTGAAGCTCATTCCACTCATTTTCCTGGCAGCCTTCTGTAGTCCTATTCAAAAGTAGTACCGTTGCTAGTGATGTTATGTATATAACTCTAGTAAGAACTATGAATGACCTAAACTTCTTTCAAGAATCTGCCACTGTTTGAAAAAATGAAAGTTAATTTTTAACCCTGATGTTGTTTATACCTGTATCCCCCAGATTTAGTTTAACCTGAAACTGTTACTCAAAAGATCCTCTGCATTCTACCTCGTAAATATTTGACCTGAGTACTTCCCAGTATTTCATAGCCTAGCTTGTGTTTTAGAGCCTGCTCTTCTAAATGATATTAAAAACTATAATATTTTAGTCTCAAAAATCAAGAGGCCTTTTTTTAGCTTTCATAATCCTTACTGTAGCAAAGAATGAAAGGTTGGTGAGGTGGAGGAGGGGAGTTGAGTGCCTGGGGAATGAAATATATGAAACTTTCACTGAAGCAAAGATTTTTGCTGCTTAAGCTTTCATACTAGACTATACATTACATAGGTCCACTGAAAGTTTTTCCTTCTCCAGTGTATCTGAGGTTTTAAGTTTCTGGATTTATTATGGCACCCAGTAGCAAAGCTGGAGTCAAGTGTTTTCAAGGCTTCCATTAGAAATTCCTTTTTCAGAGTTTATTGCTTGACTGTTTCAAATTATATGAGAGAAACTTGGCACACAGCTTTTTGAGCTGGATTACTTTTTCAACATAAAATCTAATTTATTTCAGTTTGTTTTTAATCTAGAGATGGGCCAACAGCTCTTCTCATAGTTTGAGAAGATTTGAGTGTAATTATGAATCATACATCTGTATAAAGAAAAGAGTGAAAACAAAAAGAAACTGCAGTTTCTAGCTTAATCATTTATGGTTTTGTTTTGTTGTTTTTTTCAAAATTCTTGAAAATTTTGAGGAATTTATTTTTACACTTAATTACTGTGTTTGAGATAACTCTGCAAATCATTTCTCTATGTGTAATAGGCATGTACAGATTGGTGCACAACTATCAGAGTTCATCTGACTGTTTTTACCATGCATTGTTCTTTCTGTTCAAATTTCATCATTTTGAATATTTGGTGTTCCTATCAGAACGGAAGAAGAGAGAAAAAATATTATGTCCAGGTCACTTAAAATATTGCCTATAATAGCCCTACATCTCTTTTTCACAAGAGGCCAACCTGAGGCCTTGCTTGACAGGCATCAAAATTTATAACTGGCCACTTAAAAATGACTCTAGCTCCCTCTTTCCTGTCATCCTTCTCATATTCCTTGTCATCTTTTTGTGACATGTACTTCCCACTCTCTTTATTATTTGTACCATTATTTCCCATTTTTCATCTATGTAACAATATTGAATGATTGTCAGGTTTGAGGTGATTTCATTGTACATCTTCTTAAAAGCCAGTCCACATTCATCTCATTACTAATTTGAACTTATATGTATGTTATATATCTCTGACTATCATTTAACAAGTATCCTTTTCTTCTCATTGTTATCCTCAAAAAAAAAGATATAATAATAAATGTTACATATAAAGCCCCTCAAACTAACACTTTAAAATAATTATTAAAGACTTGCAGGTTTTTACCTTGTCCATAAATGGGTGTATTCTGTGGCAAACCAACTTTTTAAAGTACCATATTACTATTGCTGTTTTCTAAATACTGTTTATGTTCACTGTTGGGCATCATTATTCTTGCCAATATTATAATGAATCTAAACTCCAAAGAGTTTAGGAAAATATTCCAGAAAGCATCTACCAATTAAACAACTGAAATTTTTTTGAAGTATGCTTCCTCTCTTTTGCCTTATGGAGAAATTTTAAAATTAAAATGTTTCTATGACCTTATATGGATGAATGAATTGAGATTTTAAGTATTTGTTACTAATATTAAGCAATAGTTATTTTTCAAATATATATGGTTCTTCTTGAAAGTATTAATCTGTTTTAAAACAAAATATTAGAGACATTGCCTACCATGCATAAGGTCCTAGGTTTTTAATCCCCAGCAACACCAGGGAAAAAAATCAACAACAACATAAAATATAAGGAAAGATTTTAAATTATTTGAAATGTATTCCATATTTCCATATCAATAAATGTTATTCACTTATTGAACCAAGTAGTTTGAGGGAAAATAGGTAAATTATATTTTGGCTTCTAAATATGAAAAAGATGAATGTTTTCTTTATATTTTATTTAAAATTTTCTTCATATTATAAATATATATGTATATATTGGTAAACAAAGGTAACATGGAGAGGAATAACAATAAGCATACTGTCAAATATGTACCCAGAACCGCTAGATAATGTGTTTTAGACTCATAATTATTTTAACATTGTGTTAAGACTGTACCCTGGGCAAGATCCAGACTCTTGGACTTGTTTATCTTCTGTGTGAGGACAACTAACTATCCAATGCCAAAATACAATGAACTTTCAAATATCAAAGAGGAAAATTAAGTATTTCAAGTCTTCAGCTGGTTTACAGATGTGTGAGCTTTGTAGTCCATTTTCTGGTTTCAGTAGGGCATTGTGACAATTTTTCCAATATGTGTATGCTAGATAAGGTTTGAAAGTAAAATCACTTACTTTAATACTGAAATAATTTTCTGAATTTAAAATTTTTACATTGATTTTTCTTTTAAAAATGGAGTCTAAAACCAAGCTTCATCACTTTAAAAATATTTTAAAATGTAAAACATTAAATTGAGAAACCGTTTTCTGTGAGAAAAATAAGTGCCTTTTCAAACAGGTATTCATTTAGATCTATGATTAACCTTTAACAAGATCTTCCTGTTAAATTCTATAATTTGCTTTAATCTCAGTAGGAAAAGATACAAAATAGTATTGCAGAATATAGGGTTTCTATATACCCTGTGGACATTAGCTAAAGGCACATCTGCAACATATTTAAATGCCAGCTTTGGGCATTATTGGTATAAAATGCTAAGTCACTTTTTTTGGAAATATTTTGAAAAGTTTAAACTCCAAGAGGAAACTCCAATAAATGGTAATCTTATGATACCATTTGCTTTGAGGGAGTGGTATGAAGATGAATGCTTGTATTACATATTTTTCCTTTAGGGAAAAGTAGCATGATAGTACTTCTTCAAATAAATGTCAAGTGTGGTGGTAGAACCATAGCTGTGCTAAAAACTGATCTTTCAGGACACTCTAAAATGATTTATTATCAGTTGTTGTACAGGTGATATCGTCATCAAGTTTAGGGCTTCCTTTCAAATTCTAAGAGTTTGTTTATGTGAGCTCACAAATGTTTATTGGTTCAGTTTTAAATAATCTAAAAACCTTGATGACTGATATGCAAATGTATAAATATTTCCTAAGCAACATGAATTGAAAAAGTCTGATTCAAATCTTTTTTTTTCTTTTAACACTTTTATTCTTTTTCTTAAATTTTGAAGATCAAATATTCGAGACAATGTAGAAATGATTAAGCTTCATAAACAACTCGTGGAAAAAAGCAATGCTCTTTCAGTAATGGAAGGAAAATTTATTCAGCTTCAAGAGGTACTCTGATATTCTGTTATGACACTTAGATGATGCAAAGTATTCAAAAATATTGTCCTAGTTGTATTTTGAAGTAGAATGGTCATCATAACACTAAAAAGTTATTTTGAAAGCTGGCTCTTTAAAATTCTCAAACGTGTGTAATTTCTCTGCATATATTGTTATTAATAACTTTATTACTAAAGAAATAATTAACTTCTTAGACTATATAAATGTGTCTTAAAATAATAAACATTTTGTCATAAACCATCTCATGCCATGAATTTTATTTTTAACTCCTTTCTCTGAGTCATTATGGCCTCATAGCACTGAAGAATTTACTATATTTCCATACGTCTTCAACTGTAAGAATTTATAAAATGTTAGAACTAGGCCAGAATTATGAATTGGTCAGTACTTATGCTGTGAAATCTTTCTTTGATATGGATTTGGTTTGCTTTTGTTGATCACCACCATTATCAGAAAATATGTGAATACCAGTGATGTCTGCTTTTAAACCTTAACAATTCAGTTTAACAGTACTTAGGATTCTTCATGCCCATAGTTGTTTTAACAATGACGGTGGTTCCACGAGAATGTGCCATCAAAACGTTCCTGTTTATTGGCACTGCATAATTAACATAGGTTCTGGAATTAATGAACTCCAAAACATTCCAGATGAGCAGAATTTATATTAACCAGTACCTTCTTTGAAGTACTGAGACAAAAAAAGCAGTTAATTGATGTAAAGCATAGGGTCATCTGAAGCCCAAATTCACTACTGAATTAAATAGTTAAATATTTTCATCCATACTCTGGTTAGTGTTTTCCATCCTTTAGGAGCCTCCTTAAATGCAAACTAATAACTACCTTCCCTGGCACACAGTTTGGATGGGAGGAGACTAATTAGCAAGGGGGAATGACAGCACTGTCTGAAGATAGATAGGGGAAATTAAAAATACATGGAGTTAAAAGCAATTTCTAAAATGAGGAATTAAGAAAGTAATTGAAAAATGATTTTACATTCTCTTCTCTCTTCGACTATTTTGATTTCCATTCAACAGTGACCCCAGGTATTTGTTTAAATACCAGCAGTAACAAGTGTCTGTTATAGTACAGGTCTCTCTTGGGAAATGACTTAAAGATTTGACAGGTTAAGGCCAATAGCCTCAATGAAGTGGGAAGCCCAGAGAAAACAGGCTAATAATAATGTTTTCTAATAATACCAAGATTGAAAATTAACATGAGGTGGCCCAATAATCATGTTTCTTTCAAATAATCTAAGAAAAATTTTATTAGACTTAAGTGGCTTTAATTAGAAAGTGGGGCATTACATGTTATGATATGTTCTCTGTGAAAAAACTTGAATATAATTATCTTTATTTATAAAAGAGTTGTGTGGCATTTGAATTTATAAAACTGAACAAAGTATGTTCATAAATAGAATATTTTTTAAAAACTTAAGAAGAGTTAACAATTTTACTGAATTGCAAATTTTAATTTAATTGTATTAAACTAACTACCCCCGTCTGTTTATATGGTGTGGTGGCAAATCCTTTCAATTTGAATGTCCGTGGTCAGCATTTTTAGACAGCGTGTCCAACCACTGTAACCATAGTAAAAAGAAAAAATTTCATTGGTAATACCAATTTACTTACTGGTTACTATCAACAAGTCAAAAACTAGGAGTAAGTAAAGGACAAGAAGAGCTTGCCTCACTTGTATGACTTTGTACTGAGATAACCCTTTATTTTCTTCCTCATGTTACACTTAGGTTAAGAGGATCTCCTAATCGTTTATGATGTGGAGAATAAGCTGTACAATGTCAATTTCAGGAGTAAATTCATTCAAACAATTGTAATAATTTATTCAAAGCACAATGCAAAAATGTTTAAAAAAGTTTTTTTTTTTGATCTTTAGAAACAAAGAACTCTCAGGATCAGCCATGATGCTTTGATGGCAAATGGAGATGAACTAAATATGCAACTTAAAGAGCAACGTTTAAAATGCTGCAGTCTTGAGAAACAATTACATTCCATGACATTTTCTGAAAGAAGAATAGAAGAGGTAAGCTCCCAAAGAGTTTAGAAATCTGTTACATTAAAACTTCTCTGTAACTGTGCTTGCTTCTGCAGCACATATACTAAAACTTCTCTGTAGCTGTTTTTGAAAAAGTAAAACAGAGACATTTCAAACACTGTATTTATTTTTAAACTCTAAGCTACATACAGGGTATTTTGAGCCCAGCAAAGCATAGTATATAATAACAGTAAATGAATGGCAAATCAGTGTTCAACAACACTTGCAAATGTGCTGAGATCCACTGTTTACGTAACGGATTAAAGATCCTTGAGTTAAATGAAAACATAACATCTGATGCCAGATTACTTGTGGAACTTAACTTTCTCAACTTTGACAGTTTGTTAGTCATTTGAGATACCAAAACAAAATTATAGGAATATATCTGCAATATGAGCAATTTTGTGAAATTACCACTTTTTTCCCCATGAAGATGTTTGAAAACTTGTCTATTATTGTTGCTGCTTACATCTCCAACTAGTATAATCTTTTTCTGTAGTCTCTTAAACTTGTTCCTAAGGAGAACAGATATGAAAGAAATGCTTACATTTGATTTAGACCTTCGTAGAATCTTTTACTATCATCAAAAAAGAATTTTGAGGGGGCCGGGGATTTAGCTCAGTGGTTTCATCGCCTGCTGGGCAAGTGCAAGGATCCGAGTTCGATCCCTGGTACCAAAAAAAAAAAAAAAAAGAATTTTGAGAATGGAGGTGAATTGTAAGAGGACTCTGATCCATGGAGGAAAGTTGTGACTATAGAATATACTTACAAATAAAACTTTAAATACTAAAATGCAAAAATACATATTTTAGTCATAAGGATATACTTATTCAAGTTTATTTTTGAAAATATTCATTGGTTTAAAACTAGGTATTTAATTTTGTTTAGTCAGAAGATGTGCTAATGGCTATTTGCAAATTCCAAATAATACAACAAATTGTGTCTTCAAAGCAAATAGTGATTGACAAAATTTATTTAAACCCTGAACTTAAGGCAAAGTTAATCCTTTTCTTTTTTATGGGCCAATTTGGAAGTTAATACAAAATGAATATAATGATGGAATTCATCATCGTAGAAAGTAAAAAATGCTATGGTTCCCAGGACTTAACAGCAAGCTCTTAACACATTCTTTATTGAGTACTGCCACATGTTGTCATAAAGCAGTGCCTATGTCACTACAAAATTAAAACAGGAATATTAATTTCATGTTTACTTAACAACTTGGAAAAAATCAATGCTGAATTAAATACAGACAATATAAGTGGTCTAGTTAGCAGCTGCAGTTTAGAAATCAAGGCTGAAACATTTTATCTTCCTCTCATATGGTATTTTTACTCCATGTAGTTTTATATCACAATTACCTAATGTGTACTTTCTTTTCACTTTAGCTTCAAGATAGAATTAATGATTTAGAAAAGGAACGGGAACTTTTAAAGGAAAACTATGATAAACTTTATAACAGGTAAATCATGATTCCATGGTTTTGATTCTCTTGTTTGAGCTCTTTTATATCAAAGCATTTGTTGTCATAATATATAATACTGATTAAAGAATTAGCAACAGTGGATAGCAAAAATATATTTACAAAAGAAAAATAAGTTTTTTAAAGACCTGTAAAAGATAGGTTTTTTAAAGACCTTTAAAAAATAAGTTTTTTAACTTACCATTACTCAATAATAGTCTGTAACTACTCAGAAAACCATGCTGTTTGTTACCAGTAACAAGCACTGTCATTTGTTGAACACATTCAGTTTTACAAATTCCTCATAACACCTTGGAATATAGGTATTATAAATGCCCAGTTTATAGACAAACCAGAACTAAGTAACTGAGAGGTATTTCATACTCTTAAAGATATGAAGTAATAGAGCTTGTATTTGAACCTCTGTTGGTCTCTCCACTGGGCTGTTCAGCTTATTAGCTGACAGTGACTGTGATGGCAGAAATAAAGGTGGGGTGTTTACTTAACAACTATCATTTTTCCTTAAAAGACAAACATAGGCATATAACAAACATAGGCTCAAGATAAATTTTAAAAGACTGCATCAATTTTCTTAATCTGCTTCATAATTATGGTATTTTAGAAATTACCCTTCTGGTAATGTTAGAAACAAAATTCTCCTCCATACCTAAGTTGAATGACATACATATTTCTCTGTGTGTATGTAATTTTTAAAGTCTTTCTAATTTATACCGATAAATCATAAATACAGGTTTATGTGAAAGTAAATTTAATATATATTTAAAACTGTATATTCAACAGTTTCTATTAATCATTTATAGAAATCTTAGAAAACAGTCATCTGAACTGCAAAGACATCTTTAACTTTTTAGCTGTGTTTCATGTTTTATAAATTAAATTTACATTTTAAAAATTATACCTAGAGAATATGCAGATAGACTTTTATTTTGGTTTACTTTGAAAAGTTACTTAAATTAATGTTAGGCATTATTCCAGTGGTTTGCATCACTCATCTCATTTACCTACTAATGTTGCCTCAGACAGTGGCTCAGTATATTAAGGGTTACCAATAATAGAACATCAGTTAAAATAATACTCAGGGCCCTCCAGCCAAGGGTGTGCTGGCTAAAAAGCTTTATGTGGGATTTGCTGTGACCTCCTTCCAGATCTTTTGGCCCCAGGGTTTTATTCCAGTCTCTTTTTCATCATCTCTGATTAATTTTACCTAATGAATTTATTATGCCTTCTGTTTTATATTTCATCTCTATAGAATAATGCATAGGTTTATATCAGTATATATCTAGATATGCAGTAATTATGTTTGAAAATGTTATTATACAGTTTGCACAACTTTATTAAATGGCGGTAAAGACAATATTATCCTCTGTTTTATAAATGAGAGAATTAAGATTCCAGAAAAATGAAGTGACTTGTGTAGCCACACAGCATTGTGAGACTGAACTATAGGATTGAAACACAATTCTTTTGACACTAGAATTTGAATTTTTTCCACTATGTTTCACTCTAATTGTAATTGCATTGGAAAATTGTTTATGTGAAAGGGAAACATTCATGAAGTAATGGAACTTTCATACATTCAGAAATTCTCACTGATTTACATTTATCTTAAGCAACTTAAAATTTCAAATAACTTGACATGTTCTAGATAGAAGAAAATAAATGCCATTTGGCCATTACTTATAGATTTTCTACTCTTCTTCAATCTGAGAATTAACTGAGCATACTTTCTTGGAATAAAAGCCATCAAACTTAGCTGGGAATAATCCAAAAATGGAATTTTGACAGGCATATTTTTCTCATATTTACTTAACCACCATAAAACTTTACCTTTCCATATTAGAAAATGATCTAAGAATGTAAATCTGGCTTTGAAGGGTTTTTTTAAATGTTTTATGCTTAAGCTACATTTTTTTCCTGTCACACTAAAAACAGACTTCATTATGCTACTTACACTTGAGTTTTATATGAGGTATATGGAAATAAATATGTGTAATGAGTGTCAAAAGATTTAATGTCAAAAATATTGTCACACTCAAAACCCAACAAATACATGTATATAGTAAATAGAACTACAAAATTCTCGAATGATTTTTTAAAAATATTCTCACAAGTATAGTTGGAAAAAGTACAAAAGTCAACACCATCTCTAAGATTTTTTACAGCTCCTTTGTTTCAGTGCACTGTTATTCATCATTATGAACAACTTATGTTCATCAAAAACTACATATATTCCTTGCTTTGTTAATCATAATGATAGCATGCTTTTAAGAGGAGAGCATTTATTTGCTATTCAAACTTGGCTAGTTTTCAGGAGAAAAATATGATTCACAGACTGCATTCTCATCTTCCTTTCTCAAATGAAATGTTGAATGTGTTTATTACTTGACATATGACATATTAGAGAATCATGTGGTAAGATAAAACCCTCTTGTTAGTATTTGGTATGAGTCTTTTTTAATATGTTAAAACATTTTTGATACAATGCCAAGAAATAAGAACTTTAAGAAATGTTTGATTTAAAAGTTCAGAATAAATTTTTGTCAATTAAATCTTCGTATTTGGTCAGAGAGAAATTCTGTACAATAATATGGTAAAGCTGGTTCCATTTTTGAAGTTTTATAGTTTTGGGGCCATGTGACTAGTGAATGCAATGATCCTTCGACTGTAATGTATGCAAATAACCTAGAAAACTTACTGAAATATAAATTTCACCACACCAGCAGAGCCTCTGCACATATGCATTGCACACACACACACACACACACACACACACACACACACACACTCCACCACTACCACTACCCAATTCCAGTTTGGTCAATTTGAAGTTAGGTCCAGAGAATTTGTTGGTGATTTTAAGGCACTAACTTCTTGAGAGACAGTGATCTAATGCCTGTTTTTAACGTTTTCATGTATTTCATGACAGTAACCTTTTTAAGAATTGGATGGATCAAGTTTCTATGTTGTGATACATAGTTATCCAATATTCAAAATTTAAAAGAGCACTGCTGACCACCCACAGACTTTCTGAGCTCTGTTTCTGTAAAGCAAACACCTGTCCCTTGCAATCTTCCTATCTAAAGTACGTATGGATTTTTTATAGATGATTCAGAATTTATTCTTCCTCATCTCTCACATTAGGATTCCCTTGAGTGTTAGAATAAATGGAATTTCTTATCAGAAAAAAAAAGACCTGAGGTAGAGAGGAATTCTTTGGCTTCTATTTTGATCTTATCATGCTTTTGATCAAGAGTGTTTGTTAACAGTATGCTGAGACCCTTGGCTGCCTGTGGACATACCAGTGACCACAGGCACCAAGGGCATTCCACTACAGACTGACATTTTCTCACTTTTGCAACATAAGGTGACAGTAAAATGGGCACAGAGACTTAACTATCATCCTCCTTCAGTCATCACTATTGGCAATATACGAAAACATTTTCCTGAATAAGAGGTTCTCAAAGACTGTTCTCATATGCAGATTTAATCATGTATATAGCTCTTACAAAGAAAATGGAGCCAGATGTGGTTCACCATTTATAGTTACACAGATGGCTCCAAGCATAGAGGAATACAGTAAATTCAAAAGGAATTCCTCATGAAACTCCACTGGAATGTAATCCTAAATTTAGAGGGAAGATAGCGGTGCACTAAATTCAGATTGACTTATGCTGATTTACACTAGTATTTTGTGGGTTTGGAAAAACCAGGCTGCTAAATTGTTCTTAATTTAAACACATACAGCTTCTGATGTTTCTGCCAGATTAGCTGTCGGTGATCTTTTTGCTGGTACTAATGCTATTGGAACACTACTGTTTCTCATTTTTGGCATCCGATATAATGTATACTGCCTGTTTCATCATGCTAATTTTTTTCTGGGTGGTACATGTTTTCAATAATACAGGACACACATACCTACACACATATATACACATATATTTACTCACATTTGTATATATGTATGTTTGGTGTATATAATTTGGCCCAACACAGAAACTGTATTTGTTTTTTATTTTAAAATGAACTTGTAAGGGGATTAGTATTTAAATATGTATTTCATTTGGATTTCACTTAAGTCTAGGTAAATTGTACTTTTGATAAAATTAACTTAAAATATTGGTATATCAGATCCATGCATTTTTTAAGGTTCCATATGTGAAATGAGAACATCGATAGGAGAAACAGATGTCATATTTAGAGGAGCTTCTAGAATTCCACTTATTTTCAAGGTTATATTATTTTAAATGCAATAAAAATATTCAAAATGTGAAATAAATGCACAGCTATGCCTCCCAGAAAAGTATCTCTTTTGGAATAAAACCTCAAGATTAGCTGAGAGCAACATTAAGGACAATTTTCAATGATGTGTTTTTCTTCCATTTATTTCATTATCAGCACAAAACCTGGTGTTATAAATTTTTGTTTTAATTCCTGGGTTTAAGCAGATGGGTCAAAGCTGCTGATGATTATTCAGCCATATCAAGCTTCACAGATAATGGTTTTCTGCTGAAATGCAGATCAAGATCAGTTTTTCCAAAACCTGGCTATCACCTGGGGAGCTTTATGAAAATATGAATCCTTGGGCCCTAGGACCTCCATTTTTAAATCTCCCTAAGTGTCAGGACCACTGATGAAGCACCATTGTTTAGATCAGCACTCAGGAAGCAGTAAATAAACAAATGTTTATTGTATACCTTCTGTGTACCATTCAGATATGTTTTATCTGGTTCTTATAATATGCTAGGCCTTGATTATTAGCAAATTTTAACAAAAATTGAAACTACTGCACTTTTACTGAGGAATAGTAATTCTATCTGCATCATTCTTATTAGGCACAGGGCATTCATTTTCATCCCAGTCATGTGCTACAAGTAAAATTATTTGTCCTGAGCTTATTGCTTTTGGATTTTTAGGACAAAAGTGCATTATCACTACTTTTTAATCAGTATCAGAATTGCTGTCCTGTGGTTCAGTATGCTATAATTTTGTGGCCAGTATTCTGTGAATATGTTATTATCACAGACTCTAAAAATTTCACAGAATTACAGATCAGGTGGAAAGACCATTTTCTCAGTCTTAAGAGGGTTTGTAAATGGGAGAGAATGGTTTTATCCAATGTCAGTTGCTGAGGTTTGGAATTGTGGATTTCTCTGGAGTATGTACAGTATCTGAATTCCTTTACTAGTCCCACAAAAGTTACACACTGCCAACTTTTCTGACTTTAGAGCTCTAAATTAAGGCCAGTTCCTTTGCTCATCCCACAAACTCTTTCATGTTCCCTAACCGCAGCCTGAGAAAGGCGCCTCGGTTTCAACAGCAGCAGACCAGCATATGTTTACTTAATTCCTAAGACATGATGACAGTGGTCTCTGCCACTAAAAGCTTTTCTCTTTATTATTTTCGGTTGAAGCTGATTTCCAAGCTTTCTTTGCCTGTCACGTGTGTTTTGCAGTGCCTTCAGTGCTGCCCATGAAGAGCAATGGATGTTAAAGGAACAGCAGCTGAAAGTGCACATTGCTCAGCTCGAGACTGCCTTAAAATCTGATTTAACAGACAAAACTGAAATCCTTGACAGATTAAAAACTGAAAGAGGTACATATAATGCAACTATTTATCATTTCATACATCTGATGTTTATTCTATGAATCAGTTAGTACTTGTGGTGCCTGCTGTTTGCCAGTTACCTTGCCATGTACCAGGGACCCACTTCCAGGGATTTATCATGTGCTCAAAATTTCCCTTACTAAGCAAAAAAAGGAGTGGCGGGGAGGGAGTCTCTCTCAGATTTACTTTTATTCAAGTTGTCCTAAATTTGTTTAATTTTCCTGAATTCTGAGCCTTTCTTTATTCAACAGTCAACAAATGTTTATTGAACACCAGTATGTTGTAGGCAGTGTTCTAAGTAATGGGACTACAGCAATGAATAGAAAAAGGTATTTGCCCTCATAAAACAAAATTAACAGAAAGAAACTGATAGTAATTAAATAAGTATGGAATATGCCAGGTGGTGGCAAATGCAATGGGGGAAAAAAAGCAGTGTAACTAAGATGACAGAGTGGTAGGAACTGCTTGCTGTTTCTGATAGGTTGGACAAGGAAGACTTCTCTGTGAGATGTCTACTTCTGTTCTGTGATCATGAACTTAAATACTAGGAAACTTTGTGAAAACACCCCTGCCAAAATAATAGTCATCAGTAGGTATCATGTTATGAGTTACAGAGCTCACCCTTCTTGTCTCATAAAAATAAAATGATTATAATTAAACACATCTGAACATATCTTTAAAGATATCTGCACATACATATACAGTACAGTATTTGGTTGAAGTCTTGTATCTGTTTGCTCAAGCACTAGATAAACCAAGTACTGTGATGATAAAGTTGCTTCTTTGAAATATTGACAATTCAGTTGCATGAGAATGTTTAAAAGTTTAATATAGACTCAGTTTAAAAATTGTATTTGTAGCCAGAACTCTTATTTGTTGATTTAGGTCATAGTGCCATATTTTACTGACTAAAGGGGACCTTATTTTTTTACCTTTTAATATTGCTAAAATTGTAATGCATCTTATAAGTGACAGCATCTTAAAAATATGGCCATATTTTTCACATTTTAACAAGTCTAAAATAGACACATCTTATAATCAATGGAGTCTTAATTTCAGGGAAAGACAGTCAGTATTTATTCACCAAGTGATTAAATTTGATGAGAGTATGAATTTTCCTAAAAAGATTATGAGTGCAGTAAAATGGTTGTATGTTTTCTGACCTAGAGAATGTTTTTGTACAGTATCAAATACCTAACAGAATGCTTTAACAGTAGCTCAATAAATTCTTGTTTGCTGAAGGGAATGAAAGTGCTCCATATTCTTTTTCTCTTTTCCAAAAACAGATAAATTGCTCATTCTTCAAGGAAAGGGAAATTAAATATTTCTATGCTTTCTGTATTTCCTTAGATATCAAGAATTCCAAAACTATTATCTTCTAGGCATCTGAATTGATTTCGGAAAACAAATTCTTCTTTTTCTTGGTTGTGCTGGGGATTGAACCTAGGCTTTGCATATGCTAAGCAAGTGCTGTACCACTTAGCTATGTCCCCAGCCTACGAATCTCTTCTGAAGGGAGTAGGATCTGTTTTGTTTGCTAAACCTGTTTATTGTACTAAACCAGTTTATTGTTACTAAAATAATTCTGAGAGGCCCTTTTAATCATTAAGTATTATAGTTGCTAAGGTATTTTAATTTAACTACTCCATCTTCATCTTTTTAAAGACTTGTATCTTTTGGGGATTTTTGGCTAATAAATACAATTCATGTATACTATGCAAAAAGTCCAGTAAACAAAAAATTCTAATCACTCAATTTCATAACTCTCAAGATAATCTCTGCTAATATTTGGTGAATCTCTTTTCAGAGCTGTTTTTGTATGTATAGATACAGTTAAATAATGGGCTTTTTATTTACTGTATTGCAAAATTCATACTTTGAGTATAAATTTATATCTGCATCATTATCATTTATAATGGCTGTTACAGTTTTTCAGTGTGTGGATGTACCATAGATTATTTAAGTAACTTCATTGTAAGTACCATAAGCAACATCTTTTTACACAAATCTTTACAGGTGTGTCCAATTATTTTCTAAAGAAAAATTGCTAAATTTGTTACTTTCCAGTTATTTTTATTTGAAAAATTTGGACTTAGAATTCCAAAGACTTAAGTTTTTGGTTTTTTGTAAAAAAAAAAATTACAATAGATTATAAGAAAAATATTACAGGCTTTAACCATTTTTCCAAGGGTATAATAAATAAAAAACTGAAACTGTCTACCTAAGGAAATCTTTTAATATTGAGAAAGTTCCTCTCTGTTACAGATTTTGAAATTGTTTAATTTTACTTTGAAGTCTTCTCACACATTTACCTTTTCATGTATCAAATGTTCTTTGCCAGAAGATGTTTCCCTGCTTCTTGTAGTCATTCATCTACCTGGCAAATTATTTTTAAAGAATATTCACCTCTTTATTCAAGGTACAAATTAGTTTCAGATTGTGTGAATATGTGGGGGAAGAATATGTAAATGCTGCTTGCATTTGGTTAATGCTTAAATTAACTGCATGTGTTTAAGGGCTTGCTTTTGAAAGTTCCTTTCTATCTTTAGCTGAAATGCATAATTCAGCATAATGCATATGGTTATATTGATCACAGCTGAAGATATTAACACAAAGGAGCTCTGAAAATTGTTTAGTTGAATTGGTCTCTGCACTCTGCTTATTAATGGTGTGCTAGAAGAACATAAGTTTAAAAGAGTGAAATGTTATCTCATTTGAATAAAATGCTGTTTAGCTTAACCTGCTTTTTGTCAAATCATAACGTAAGGAGGTTGTTTTTCATCTTGTATAGAGCACTTTGATTTTTCATATTATAATTCAGCAAGTCTATTTCCTCTTTGAACTGTAACATTTCAGTACTTTTTAAGACCCAAGAATTATATCCTCAATAAACATTTTGAGAAAGGAGAAGTACAGTGTATAATTCTATATAAATTCAGTAGAGAGACAGTTACTGGTACTCAGCGATGTCTTCTCCCATTAAATTATTTGCCCATTAATAATACCCTAGTTTTTAAAATATCAGATGTTTAAAAACATAGTTGTTGAAACAGAAATGAGTGAAGGATGGAAATGTTTAAATAAGTTCATTTGTACCTATTAGTACATCATTCTTAGGAACTCTGATGTAAAAAATTCAAAGGATAGAAAACTGGAGCATAAAAGTAACAATCAGAATACACACTGTGTTTGAGCTAAGATTAAATAATTACCTTTACTTTGTACTTTATACTTGAGCTTACTCTTATGTTAGGCATTTACTCCTATATTTTGTTGGCCATAGGGTGAAATTATATTATCCTCAGTATTTCTGGTTTTACATCCTTCTGAATCTACTGTTTTTGTTGCCTAATCATTCTATCTAGCTGCTGATTTAATAATAAGCCCTATATTCTTATTCTATTCCCTAACCAAAAAAAGCTTATCTCATAAGAATTTATATTTTTATTAATCCTAGTTTTTAGTTTAAAGAAAACTGTTTGATATTAATCTTCAGATCTTCCAAGTATTCTACACATTTGAAAATTCTTTTAGTTCACCAGATATAAGCAACTTGTACTGTAAGCTAACCTTTTAACTTTCTATCAATAAGTGTTTATATGTTTGATATTAAAATGTCTCTGTATCTCAGTATACCCTTGGGTTGCATTTTTTTAAACTTTTCAGATTGTCAGGAAATATGTGACATGCAAACCATCCAACTTTATTCCATTTCTTAACCGTATAATTTAACATTTTTACTTGTATGTGATATTTATAGCTTGGGAACACAAAGCCTTACAAAAGTCAAAAACATATTTTTGTATAAAATGCAGTTAGAATGCAAATGCATTCACGGAAAGAATTCTTGGCAAATGTGTTGATTTCTTTTTTTTTACGAAAAGGAAACAAAAATGTACAACTTAAATTGAGGACTTATGATAAACATAAATCATTGAGAGCAGAATGAAATTAGCGGAGACACTTTGGATGACAGGGTTTAGAGTTAGTCCACAGGGAGGCAACAAAGAAGGATAACTGGCTGCCATGATGAACCCAAGTGAAGAGTACACTTAAGAACATGAGACTAAAGAATGCAGTACATTTGTTATCTAGCTATTGTGCTTTTTTAAAAAAAATGTTAAATATGTTTAATACAGAGTAAAAATTAAGCTTAGTCTTTTTATGAATTTGCTGTCTTCTGTACCTCTGTTTTATACCTCTGATTGTGGGTCATGATGAATGAGTACCTAGGCAGAAGAAAGTCATCCCTCCCTTAATGATATCAATAAGTCTAGGTCCTATTAATTAATAGTATGAACTGACATAATAAAGAACACACATGAATTATTATTGATACTGCCTTACACTGGATGAGAATCTGTTTCATCTATTGGAATAGATTTTTAGAAGTATGATTGATTAAATTGTAGATTGACAGTTTATCAGATAAATTATTTTTAATGCAAAGACTTTATGCTAAGTTCAAAAAAGAAAATTCAAAGCAGTCAATTAGAAAACTAAAAGACAATTTTTTTTTGCATGCTTTACAGGACCCTTAATACGTAAGTAAAAATCATAGATTTAGCAATCTTAGGCATTTTAAATAGATTGTTCCTTTGAAGTCCCAGAGACCACAATTTCCTTATATTAATACTATGAGCTTAAGTCTTAAGTTTTTGATAAGCAAGTGAATCATATGGTAGACACATGATAGTGTTCATTTGTTCCTCATTTCCCTGCTGCCTTTGTTTAGGTGCTAGCTCAATTACCTCTCTGACCTGAACAATACTAGCTCAAGCTTGGTGTGTACCAGGAATTAAATTAATTTAAAATGTGTTCTTAGACCTAATTCTCACTTACCTTTCTAATTGTATTGATTTTATTTTTAAGACCAAAATGAGAAACTCATTCAAGAGAATAGAGATCTACAATTACAGTATCTGGAACAAAAGCAGCAACTTGATGAACTTAAAAACCGCATGAAGTTTTTCAACCAGGTGAACTACTTTCTTATTTAGGAAGTAAACTCAAAAATTTTATTTACATATTTTATAATAGAGAAAACATCATTCTGCAAAACAAAAGGATACTGTAATTCATAGTATCAGGAAATTCATGTTTTGTGTGGGTATTATGAATAGTTAGAATGTCTCTTATATTTAGTTTATTAATCCATACTATTAGACACCTTATGTTCCAACAGGATAATCTGAATAGTTGGAATGTCTCTTATACTTTCCATTAATATCTCATTTTGAGCTGTTACTTAATCTATTGCAGGAGAGTGATATTAATGCTGATGAACTGAGTGAAGCTCTCCTGCTTATAAAGGTAACTTTCTGAACTTCATCGTGGATTTGCTCTCTACGGATAGCTGTTTCAACATAATGATGACCTTTATGTGAAACCATTATGTTTGAAAAGTGAATTATGTGCATGGCTTCTGAAATTTAGTACATCTTTTACAAATGAGTGTGTGTGTGTGTTTGTGTGTGTGTGTGTCTTATCACATATCTCTACTAAGACTCAGGAAAGTGGTCAGGTGATACTTGGTTACAGCATATGCATATTTCAAATGACATCAAGACTACATGAAATTAGGCTTCAAAAAATATTATTTGAAGCATTTTCTTTAATTCTAACAAGCATTTTACTTTAACTTGCCTCATTATAAAACTAATCAACAATTTTCTGCCCTAAGAGGCTTTGGCTTTCAAGGTCTTAAGTAAAATATTGAATTATAATAAGAAGATATTTTCTAGTTCTGGAATATTCTGTTATTTCCAAGAAGACAAAAAAAAAAGAACATACTTCTTTCCTTTTTAGATTGAATTGTACATTTTAATCAAATGAAATAGAAATAAATGTACACGATTCTTTTCATGTCATGAAGTAATGAACTGTTTTATTTCTCTGTAACTGTTCCAAATGTTTATCCAAAAGTATGTATTAGGACTGCTTTATTCCTGATGAAAAAGAGAAATATATGTTTTTAATCAATGATTGTTTCTTGCTATATCTACATTAATTCATATGACCACATTTTAGAAATTCTTGTTGAAGTAATATAACATGTTTCTATTTTAGGCTCAAAAAGAACAAAAAAATGGTGATCTTTTCTTTTTAGAAAAAATTGACAGTAAAATTAATAAAGATCTAGAATGCTCCATAAGAAAACTACAAGCAACTCATGCAGAAACAGTGCAAGAACTTGAAAAGACAAGAAACATGCTAATTATGCAACATAAAATTAATAAAGATTATCAGGTAATGTAATACACTAAATTGAGGGGGTAGGACTTCTATCACATTATACTATGATTTATTTTTTCAGAACTATCATGTGTTATCATCTGTTATCTTATCACCTATTATCATGTATTACCACATCCCTGGAAATTAGACCTGTAACTAAGTAGAATAAGCAATTTAAAAACAAATAATTTATTTTAAATTAGGGGAATGAATAGTAGCAATGAACTCACCTCTATAGTGTTAGCATATTCTGCAAAGGAGTTGCAGTTATTCTGCAGTCCTGCCACAAGTACCTTTAGTTAGCCTTTAATGAAATGGAAACTCATCTTAATAAAAAGGAATCTAGAGTTTTGTTTAGTTTACTTCTGGTTTTTGAACACTGCCACACATAACATTCTAAACTATAAGCTATTTGAGGTCAGGAAGCCATGGATTATAACTCTTGATCTTCTAGGATCTAGAAAATGCTTAAATTGTAGTAGCTTTGGAAAATGAAAATGAAACTAATCATAAATATCAAAATTTATGATCTTTTATTTTTTAGATGGAAGTGGAGGCAGTGACCCATAAAATGGAAAATTTGCAGCAAGATTATGAATTCAAAGTAGAACAATACGTTCATCTCCTTGATATCAGGGCTGCACGCATCCAGAAACTAGAAGGTACAGCATGCACAATTTTTTATCCACAGTAACTAAAGGAGTAGGTTTATAAAAGTAAGAAATGTCATCCAAATCTTCACTCACAATATCTTTTTGCTGTATGTTTTCCCAATTTATAGTTATAAGTTACTGGAAAGAGTGGTTTCATCTGATTCTTTCCTACTCAAAAATTTTTAGTTAAGTACCCGCTGCCTTTTGAATTCAGTGTTGCAGGCAAGATTTCAAAGAATTTCACAAAGTACCACAGGCTCAAATTTACCACCACCTTTTTGACTTTTCTTCTCAGCAACCTGCACACCTCAGCCAAATAGGACTGCTTGCTTTTGTCAACTTCGTCTTGCTCTGTCCCACTATCCTGCTTCTGTTATTGCTGTTTGCTTTGCCTCAACCTTCTTTCTACCTTGACCTCCAGATATACCCTTGTCTTCAGAATATAACTCAGACTCATTGTTCACCCATGCCAGGAACCTGCCTCTGAAAACTCTTAACCATCCCTCTACCTAAAATGCCCTTGCAGTGATTCTCGAACTTAAGTGCAAAGATCACCTGAGGACCTTATTCAGGATATGGCTTATGGGCTCCTCCTCTAGAGGCTCTGGGGCCCATGACTGTATATTTAAAAATAAATGCAAGTTATTCAAATACAGGCTTAAGACTATACATTAAAAACACTAGCTTGGTACTTACGCATTTTCCTCTAGTGTACTCAGAAAATATGTTTGGAGAGTATATAAGTGATCTTCAGCTGTTTGAGCCTTGCATTTCCTGTGTAACCATAATATAACTTCCCCAGTGATAAGTACTAGACTCATTTCCACTCCCAGGCAATACTTAATTCAGTCATCTATATCAGCAGTAATTTTACATTCTTTAAAACTACGGAGGGTCCCAAAGGCCTCTTGTCACAGACGTACTTACTGATATTTATCATATTAATTGAAAAATTTTTTAAATATTTATAATTCATGTTAACATAATTAAAATTAAATTAATATTAAACAATTAAATAAACCTATTATATGTTAACATAAATTGTAGTATTTATTTTTTAAAAGTAATATCTTCCAAAAAACTGTGAAGGATATAAGGATGATTGGGCTGTGACATCAGTCACCTCTTCGATCACCAGGGTTGATTGGGCTGATCTGGCTGGCTAGGCAAGTGACCCCTTCCTGCCTCACTGCTCCATGTATGTTAGACCTCAGACAAGGAATTCTGTCCTTCAGGCAACAGTATACAAGCAGCTGTGCTTCCCTACTAGAATCGCCCAAAAAACTTGTGAAAAGAGTGAGTAGCATCATTTTAAATTTTTAAAAATTATTTTAGATTTTTTTAACATCTTTGTGAGTCTTGTTAGGGCCTGGCTTAATAGAAAATAGCTGTATTATTACATCTGTTTCTGCATTTAATCTCTTGTGATATTGTGCATCATGTAGCCTCTGAAAAACTCCATTATATCACTTGTAGGAGGATAAAAATGAAAAAGGCGCATAACATCTTAGTATTATTATAAAAGTTGTTTGAGCTCACAGAGCTCTAACACAGTATTACAGTCTCGGGTTCCCAGGCCACACTTTGAGAAACTGCTATATGAAGAAGGATGAAATAAATATTTTTATCTGACTGAATAGGGCTTTCCAAAAGTCAAGGAGCAGTGTGTACCTTTTATTCCAAGTAGTACTCAATAAAAATTTGCTTAATAGAATTTTCTTTTTTAAAAGGGAGGTCACAGAGTTAAGAATTTTCCTCCTTTTCAAGTCTTACCAAATCTGTCCCCTAAATTCATTGATTCATTCCATAAACATGATCAAGCCCCTAATGCCTTCTGCTAGCCAGCAAGAGTATGAATTGGAAAAAAACTGAGGCATCACCCTCAGGGAGCTTTGAAGATGTGGGCAAATAAATAGATGGTTATACTGTACTATAAAGAATGTGAAGGTAAGAAAATGCAGAAGGTATTGTCTTAGTCCATTTGTGCTGCCATAATAGAATATTTGAGACTAGGTATTACTAAAGAACAAAGATTTGTTTTTGTTTTTTCTTTTATTTTGCTTTTGTTTGGTTTTTGATTCTGGGGATTGAGTCCAGGGTCTCACACATGTGAAACATGTTCTCTACCACTAAGCTATACCCCCAGCCCCAGAGATTTGCTTCTTACCATTCTGGAGTCTGGAAAGTCCAAGTTGAAGGTCCTGTTTCTGAAAACCACCTTTACACTACCTCATGGTATGGCAGAAGGCAGAAGGACAAAAGAACATGTACCAGAGAAAGCATGAGGGGACTGAACTCGCTTTCATAGTAAAACCACTGTCAAGATAACAGACTCACTCCAGTGATAAACAACTCTAATCCATAAGGACAGAGCCCACATGAATTGATTGCCCCTTAAAAGCCTTACCTCTCAACTCTGTTGCACTGGGAATTAAGTTTCCAATACAGGAACTTTTAGGAGACACATTTAAATCACAACAAGTATCTAGGAAACACCGATAAGAGAATGGCTATTCCTACTTCCGGTTTCAGGGAAGACTTCACACAGTAAATATGGGAATCTTTAAAAATGACTCCCCCCACAAAAAAAACAAAATTTACCTCTAAGTGAAAGTAATGAGGGTATTCCAGATAGTAGGACAAGTAAAAATGCCCCAACTGTAAAGTATTGCAGTACAATTGAGAAGCTGCATTGTAGATTCGACTAACTGGCACTTAGGCTACTGTAAAGATAATAACACCCCCTCCCATACAGTGTGTCATCAAAATATACAGTGACTGTTTAAATGTTTTTAATATATTAATGTGAAAGCCACAATGTCATTAACCTGCCTCGAAAAACTATCCTTCACTTCAGAGACGCTTATTCATCATTCTTGCCACTTTCTGATGCAGTTCTGAAAGTTCCCTTTCTTGAATGTCTTTATAAAGTATGAGCAAAAACAGCGAATAGGGCCGGGGATTTAGCTCAGTAGTTTCGCCACCTGCTGCACAAGCGCAAGGACCCAGGTTCGATCCCGGGTACCAAAAAAAAAAAAAAGCAAATGTGGTTGCCAAGTGCCATCCAACAGAAAGAGGGGTTTGTAAAAACATTACAGTGTGCCCTCATCCACCTGATTCACTGGATTGGGCACTGTGTCACTTCTGGCTCTTCCCTAAAGTCAAAATGACCATTAAAGCAAATGTTTTCAATCTACTGATGACACTGAGGCAGCCACAACAGTGCAACTAAAGACAGTCATGAAAGAGAGCTTCCAGAACTTCAGATAGTGGCAAGAATGATGGTACAAATGTTCAAAGTGAGGCAGAGATTAATTGCAATGGTCTTTTACTGTAATAAAATTTTAAACATTCACTGTATTTTCTTAATCATACTTCATATGCCTTATCAAGCTACAAGGAATGAGCCTGTGAAAAGAGCAATTGACTTTATAGGGCAAAATATAATACAGCAGAGGATCAGGTGAAATCCAAATACTGAACTTACCTGTCCATTCAGAGGCCTCCATTTCCTTCTTTACTTTATCCTGGTTTAGGCTATATTACAACTGAAGTTGTTATTTTTTAAATTTTACATTGAAAAATTATAGTTGTATATAGTTTGAAGGAGTAGTGTTTGGTCATTTAATAAGTGATGTGAAAACAAATGATGAATTTCTGTTTAATAAAGCGTAACTTACAGAAAAACAGTGAATTTAAGTTTGAGACTATTCACTAAAAGCACTCAGGCTTCCTAACACTTCAAAGACCAGTTTGCATTTGCACATGTCAATATTTTAAATCTAAACTGTATGTCTCCTCTTGCAGCCCAGTTAAAGGATATTGCCTATGGCACGAAGCAGTACAAATTTAAACCAGAAATCATGCCGGATGACTCTGTCGATGAATTTGATGAGACTATCCACCTAGAGCGAGGCGAAAATCTATTTGAAATCCATATCAACAAAATAACCTTTTCTTCAGAAGTTTTACAGGCATCTGGAGATAAAGAGCCTATCACTTTCTGTACCTATGCCTTCTATGATTTTGAACTACAGACAACTCCCATAGTGCGAGGCCTTCACCCAAAATATAACTTCACTTCCCAATACCTTGTTCATGTTAATGACTTATTTTTGCAATATATTCAGAAGAATACTGTCACCCTTGAGGTCCACCAAGCTTACAGCACAGATTATGAAACAATCGCAGCATGTCAATTGAGATTCCATAAAATTCTAGAAAAAAGTGGTCGAATATTTTACACAGCAAGTTTGGTTGGTAAGTATAGTTTATAAGTTTTGGATGTTTAAATCACTAATTTACTCTATATATTGGTGTTTTACTTTAGTATCTTCTCATACATTAAAAGTGCCCTTTGGGTTTGGACAGTATAAATTCAGGTGTTTATTTACCATATTGATACCCTTGTTTAAACATTAATTGTACCACATTCATCAGATTCTTTTTAAGACATGTTATCTTTAGTACTAAATATTAGGAATGCTGTTCAGTGGTAAAAAGACTAGCTTATGTGTATTGTCAGATATGACAAAAAGTTAAAGCCAGAGGGTAAAGAGAGAGTTGGAAGGTTGCTGATTAAGGTAAGGGCTTCCCTGAGAGGTTGACATTGATAAAGACCTAGATGAAGATTCATGGCAGCATATAGGACAGGAATGTTTCAGGCAGAGGAAATAGCAAAAAGCAAAGATCTTAGGGAAGAACAAACCTGAATGTTGGAATAAGAGGGCCAGTAACTTGAGCAAAAATAAAATTAAACCAGTAAACAGGAACCAGATCATCTTGTAGAGCTTTGTGCATCACAGTGAGGAGTTTGGATTTCTTTTAGGTTTTAGAAAATTCAGCCTGAGTATTGTGTCAAGAATAGTTTTTAGTGGGCAAGAGGGAAAATAGGACCATTCTCCAGCTATTTGCATTATCTATGGGAAGGTAATGATGGCTTGGATTGAGATGATAAGTAAAAAGGATAAGATGGTCATATTTAGTATATATTTTGTTATTCTTTCTTCAAGATTTGCCTATCAGTTAAATGTGGGGTATTGAGGGAATCCAAGGAGGCAAGAATTTATAGCATGAATAACTAAGAGAACAGTGATATCATTTACCAAAAAAGGGAAGATTACAAAAGGAGAAAAATCCAAGGAAGAAAATCAAGAATTCTGTTTGGACAAATTAAGATTGACATGTCTATTAGATATCCAAGTGGAGATGTCAGGTAGGCCATTGGATAAACTAGTCTGAAGGCTGAGATGGAGACATAAACCTAAGAGTCATTTGCATATGGTATTTTTTTTCCCATTAAGTTTATTGGTACATTTCAGGTATAAAATACAGTTACATTCATCATTGGGATCTTGTACCATTACGTGAGTATCTTGGTTCTTATTTTTTTTTCCCCTTCCCTTGCTCTCCCTTCACCCCCTCCATCCTTCCCTATTTGCAAAGACCTTGTTTCCATTTTTTTCCTCTTCTCATATTTTTTCTTTTCCCTTTTTTCCCTTCCCCTACCCCTCCCCCTTCCC